TCTTTTGTTCTTTTTCTTATTGTCCTATTCAGAATTTATGTCTTTTTTAAATTTTGTCATTAGTGTTTCCACCTTGGTATCTTCAGGGATTAGAACATGTGCATGGGCAGCTGGGCTTGCTTGTGTTTCTTGGTGATGTTTTACTTCTTGTCCAAGTGAGTGTTTCCTCAGTTCCTCTCTTTACTGTTTTTTATTTTATTTCTTAGTCCTCTATTAAGCCCATACTATCTGTGTGTGTGTTTGTGTGTGTTTGTGTGTGGTGCAGGTGGTGATTTTTTAGACTAAAGTCTGATTGATTGATTGATTGGTGTAAAGGTAGAACACTTCTGTGATACATTTCTCTCTAACATAGAAATGTGTTGAGTTACAGAGAGACTGAGAAGGATGGATTCTTCCATTTGGCAAACTTTTCAGCCGCTGTGGGTAATTTTCCTCAGTGATTGTTGTTTGATCAGTAACTAACTCATCGAGGGACAGGCCTGGAAAGTGGAATGTTTAAAATGCGAATGATGGATGGCTTTGCTTGCAACCAGAAGGACTGTGGGGGTTTTAGTCTCAGTGTTGTGAACTGTGAGGGGAAGCATGCTGTGCTGCTGCCAGTGAACAAACTCCTGAGCGTAATGGATGACAGCCACTGCTGGCAAAACACACAAGTAAGCTTAAGAGAGACAATGGAGAGATCACTGAAAGCATCGATTGCATACTTAAACAGTCACTGGTGGCCATAAAGCATAACCACTTAGAGAAGAGGTATCCAAAGTGAGGTCTAGGGGCTGCTCAGGGTGTAAATTGCCAGGGTCCATGAAAGTCTTGCACATTAGACAATGTTATAGAATGTTGTGTCTCATGTGTTTCCATTCCACCACCATCAGGTTTAACAGTGTATCCATGATCATGGATATAGTAGTCTATATATAGTATTATATGGATCAAAAAGCTAGGGAAGAAATCATTCCTATACAAATCCTGTTAAAATAATTCAGTTATAGTGATCAAGTAGTCCACTTAGAGTATTCATTTTGGTCTTTTCATACATGTTTGGACCATTAAAAAGTAACTTTTTTAGGTTTAGTTAGAGAGGGAAAAGTGAACAGTGGCATCAGTGTGTCAGTGCACAATGTGATATTGCCCTTATCTTAAAAACCTTTTCTTCAAGTTCTGCGACTATCATACAAAAGCAACACAATTTGGTAATCGTAATCAACCCCTTACAGTGATCAATTTGGCCCGGGACAAACGTGATCATTATAAGCGGTTTCCACGGTAAAATGATTATTGTACTAATTTGTGACTCTTTATAAAAGAACAATGATTGAAGCTATTTCACAGTAGATGCACAAACTGAATGTGTATTTTTTAATAGGTAATATTACTGCTTTACATCTAAACATATTAGTCTATGAATGGAGACTATAGCTTCTCACATGCTGCTAAACATGTATTGATGTAAAGCATGATAGTAGTAGTAAATTAAAAAAGGCTCACATTAGGGCATGCGTCTTCTCCTTGTTGTCCCACCAGGATGTAAATCAGTTCTCCTCTCCTTAGCAGGAAGTCTCCAGTGATGTATACACCATGTGACCTGCTCATGGCCAATACGCTGCGGCCGCCAGCTGCACCGTACGCTGTGATCCTGGCAGAGATGCACACAAAAACAACACAAATCAAAAAATCTCATTAGTGGGATAATTGTTGTGATGATACAGGGAATGAAAGGCTGCTTCATTTCATTTCAATGGATATAAACATGTATGACAACAAAACGCTGTAATTTAACAATGACGATGCATATATTTTGTATTCCACGTTCAAAATATTTGACCAAGCATTGCACAGAAAACGTGCAAACAAAAATGAACTGCATGGACACACAATCTGTCTTCAAACACACACCTTCGTATAGCAAAAGACACCCATTTCAAACGCTCCAGTTTTCTTGCCAGGAAAAAAACAACAGCTTGATTGGTTTTTGGGAGAGCTTCGATATTTCTCCTCCCTGGTGGTCGAGCTTGGTGGGGCGAGAGAGAACGTTGCCCGGTGCCCAGTAGCTACCTCAGCTGTTTGCCTAATGACTTCGGGGAGATGCAGAACGCACATTCATCCCTGTGGCCGTCTGTCAGCTTCATTTACAAGCTCTGCCAGCTAAACCAGGAGCACGCATCAAGACCACTATTATGGAGTTAGCGTGGAGGCAGAAGGTGTCTTTCTAAAACTCTAGGACAGGTGTTATGATGGCGATGTCCACTATTTTAAGAGTAAAGGGTTTTGGTTGGGCTTAGTGGTGTGTGTGTGTGTGTGTGTGTGTGCGACTGTTTGTTTCTGTGTTGATGTGGGAGGCTAGAAGCTTTCAAGTCAAATCCAAGTTAAACACCTCAGGTTGTCATGAATGCCCACAGGAGGAATATTGATCTTGCACAAGGCAGTGGATATTACAGGATTAATCCTGTGGCAGTGCACAGTTGGAGGTCAATGCACTGCTGCAGATTTTTGAGGTATTTTGTAGCTTTTAAGGCCACCAACATAGATGTGGAGGTGGGCGGTTTTTGGATTTTTGGAGTCAGGTGCTGAGTGAATCACGCTATTTAGCTGCTGTAACTCCAGCCTCTGCTCCCTCCTGCAAGAATCTGATAGTGATATTTCTCTGTTTGCTTGTGGAAGATTGATGCGCTGCTGATGCACAGAGGAGTGGACGTGGGTGTGAGGAACAGTCTGCATTGTTGCCAGTTGCACAGTGTGTGCTGATGCCTAAAATACGGGTGTGCACCGTGTGTACTAAATGCTCACGAGCCCAAGTGTATTTAATGATTGACCTTGCAACACAGTCACCCTTAGGAAAGTGATAGCATTGTTGCAGAGTGGGCGCTGAGTGAAACATGTGTTGTTAAAATAAGAGTTAGGCAGATGTTTGTGTGCTCAGGGGCTTTATATGCTGGCATCAGTCTTACCTGTAGGTGCCAGTTTCTGGGACCCGCCACATTTGAATGCTTTTGAAGGGCCCTTGGGTGCCAACTGTCACGTTGACATTGCTGTTCCTGTAGGAGTTGAGGCACTGAGTGGGCGTCGGGCCTTCGGGGCCCACAGCCCCACAGGTATGAAAAATCCATTTTATGGCTGCAAATAGAGAAAATGGGAAAAAAACAAAAACATTTAGAACATCATAGAGGGCTCACAAGCACACACACACACACACACACACACACACACACACACACACAAACACTAGTATTCCATCTCACATGCATTTTTAGTGAACTTGATAGAGAGTCTGAAGAGAGACTCATTACAGTTCTATTTGTCTCACATTCATTCCCCTTCAAGTTTCCCACTGCTCCACTTTCACGTCAATAAAACACAAATATACAGACATGAGGCAAATGATTACATATTGGGGAGGCAATCTTCAAACTGGAAGCCACTCATATGAGAGGCTGCTACCATCATCTTCACTGCAGCAGGGCACGCACAGAGACAGGATCACAGCTGACGAACATTTCCCCTCATTTTCTGTGTAGTCCTGTGTGTTGATGCTAATTGGAGTTCTTTTCTCTGTAATTAGCACTAGATTAATCTTGTCAGATAAACGTAGAAGGACTTAAAGGTACAGTGTGTAGAATTTTGTGATATCTAGTGTTGAAGTTGCATGTTGCAGCTGAACACCCCTCACCTCACCCTCTCCTTCCAAACATGAAAAAGAACCTGTGGTAGCTTCAGTTGTCATAAAAACCCAAAAGGTGTTTAGTTCGTTCAGACTGGACTAATGTAAAAAACATGGCGGCCTCCGAGGAGAGGACCCCCTCGAAGTAAATATAGTATTTACACAAGTATTTAAATATAAAGGGCCTTTTCTGGGGTAAAGCAAACTACAATTCATACAATTTAGATGAAACGAACAAGTGAAAACATCATGAGGATTATTCTACATTCAATTTCTGCCAATAGTTCCCTTTCAGCTAAATCTTACACACTGGACCTTTAACACTGCAGTGCTAAATCCTGATTTTAGGCCTGTGAACACAGAGCAGTGAGGGAGACACCAGGGACTGAAGCCCCCCCCTCTCCTGTCCTCCTCCCTCAGACGGGCTGTGATCGCTCAGAGACTACTTATCATTCATTTCAGAGCAGGGCTGATCGTTGCATCTCTGCAGAAGAGCTAAAGTCAAAGTCGCATCTGCAGCAGAGCAACTTACAAGGTGTTTTTTTGTGACCTCTGACTTTAATAGTGTTTGTGATTAAATGCAGACATAGTTTTACCTTTTTATTTTAAATGGATGACAGGATACTCAGGAAAGAAGGATGGCATGAGAGAAATCTCCAGTGTAACTTAAACTCATCTGAATACCATTTGCTGTTAAAGTTGCCTGTTGTGTAATGCCTATTAAAGTTGAAACCTTGCAGTAGAGATGCGTGTATTCACAAAAATCTGTTGCAAAAGTCTGATAATTATTAAGAAAAAAACGACAGGAAGCTGGCATTTGTTAGCATATGTGTTTTTCTAGAGATAAACCAATTGAGAATAAACAGATTTTTCTTATCAATAATCTCACGTTCACAGCACGGTGGTGCTCTAATACGCATGCCTTGGGTCTGTATTGAGTTTGTATGTTCTCCCCGTGGTTCTGTGGGTTTTCCTATGGTGCTTTGGCTTCGTCAAACGGCCAAAACAAATTGGGGTTGGGTTAATTGGAGACATAATGTAAATGTGATTAATTGTCTGTATGTTGGCCATGTGATACACTGGGGACCTGTCCAGGGTGTACCTCGCTTCTCACCCAATGTCAGGTGGGATCGGCCTCAGCTCTCCTGGCAACCCTCAAAGGAGAAGTGGTATGGATAGTGGATGGAAGGATAGAAAACATATTTTGAGATGTAATCATTTCAAAGCCATGAAAAACAGCCACCCTGAGTGCCAGTTGTTGTTGCCACCACCACAACATATTACTGCTGCAACCTGACTGGACTGCATGTTATCAAAATTGTCAGTCAGAGCCTCGTGATTGGTTTGGTCGAAGGGTGCCTCTTAAGTGATGCAACATTTGTAATTCATACTGACCTCCTTTTCATCTCCACAGAAACAACCCTTTCTGAGTTTGGTATATTGCTGCCAGCAGAGACCATTTCAAACAGACTGATACTTTCAAAGAAACACCATGAATCACCGCTAAGGAAAACAGAACGATGTGGAGTTTAGCCTAGTCTTACCGAATACACTCCTACTGTAAAAAAACACTGTTGTGGAGGGACGAGGAGCTGTCTGGCTCCCATTCAGCAGCAGTAAATTGAGCCCTCTAGTCAGTATTTTCAACACCCTCCAAAGTAAAAAGAGTTAGGACTGCTGGGAATAAATCCATCACTGGAGCAGAAAAGCCTCTAAAGCCAAACAGTGCTTCAGACGTAAATCTTACTGTACTTAATTGGTTACTCGGAGATGGCAATCAGTTACGGTAGAACATGCTAAAGAGAAAGATAGTCTGTTATATAGTCAATTAGAGTTCTTGGAGTGAATTCTTAGTCATTTGATATGAATGAGGTCCTTGTTTTGTGGAGTGAGCTTGACTTCCTGACATTAGCACTGCTGCTGTTGAAAGTAACCAAGTCTTTCGTTCGATTTCTCTCTCCCGTCTCCCCAGGGTGCGCTTGGTTTCACACTTCACCCCGGCTGATAGATCTCAGTGGGCCATTGATATGAGCTAGTTCACACACACGCACGCACGCACGCACGCACGCAC